CACCAGGTGGCCCATTACTCACTTGGGCATGTTTAGACTGGTCAAGATTTGCCTTTGGTTGTTTCTACATTTCTGGTCACCTCGTCCCTAGAGGGGCTTGATATTTTTATTATGGCTATTCTCAGCAAGCTCAGCAAGCTGTCCTGCGGTCTTTGCCAAGTTGTTTGTGGTCTCTGCTGAGCTGTTTTAATTTTTACCCTTACAGAGATCATCAGGTAAGCTAGGCCAGTGGTCAGAGAGCCCCAGGGATTTATGTATGTTTGCCTTGAGAACTCTGGGTTTACGAGAATATCCTACCATCCCCGGTTGGTTTTGTTTGTTGATTGTCTTTGGGACTGGGTTTCACTATGTAGCCTTGGCTGGTTGAACTCATAACTCAAAAGTCCATTTGTCTCTGCCTCCTGACTTCTGGGATTAAGGCATGTATCACCAGATCTAGTCCATGCCCATCTTTTTTATCTGGATTCTGGAAATAAAACTTAAGTTTTCATGCTTGCACTTCACCACCTAAGCCATCTCCCAACCTTCAAATGCTGTGTGTATTTTAAATATTTCAAGAATATTCTCACACACATGTTTCATTGTCCCCCTTCCTAAAGGATTCCAAATATTCAAAGAAAATTAAGTGAGGTCATAAGGTAATGGAAGAATCAATGAGCCCGCAGCTCAGCTCTGTACCACACTACTTAGGAACCTGAGATGAGAGGGCCACAAGTCCGGTGACTGTCTGGACTAGAAAGTGAGCTGAAGGCAAGCCTGGGCAACTTACTGAGAAGCTATCTCAAAGTTTTTAAAGTGAAAGGAGTGGGAGTGGGGCCCAGTGGTACACTGCTCACCTAACATGTGTAAGGCCCCAGGCTCAGTCTTCAACAATGGGTATAATAAGACCTTTGTAGTGCCTAGGATTTTACTGTGACAATCATTGACTAGTTTTCAAACTGAGTGTGTTAATGAGCTTTTCATTGTGGTGATCACACACCTGAGTAAAAAAGAGAAGGAGATATTGACTTTGGTTCATCATTTCAGAAGTGTTAGTCCATGGTCACTAGGCTGTACTGACCTTGAGCCTGTGCGAACAGGAAGGTAGTCATCGTGACATAGAGGGCAGGACAGAGCAAAAATGACTACCTTACTGAAGCCAGAAGGGCACAGGCAGAAACAAATGATAATCTTCAAGAATGTGCGCCCAGTAAGCTAGTTCCTCCAACGAGGCCCTGGCCTAGAACTGTCCATTAGCTCCTAACAATTCCATCATTTGCCAGCACAGTGGGATTAACCCATTGATACGATCATAATTGATACGATCATAGTGCTCATGATAGCATGACCCCAGGTTCAACCTCTGACTCTGCTGTATTGCTGCACCAGGGAACAAGCGTTCAACACATGGCCTTTGTGGGTAATTCTCTATCCAAACCATGAACAAGAAGAAAAAAGAATTTCCATAAATGTGTATTTCTTCTTTAAGATTTTTAAAACTCAGTTTATTGATTGGATTATTCTGCCACTTTGTTTCTTGTTTCATCACCCATAAATACATAAGAAACCATAAAACTGTTTACAAAACTAGTCATAATGTAACATGCAATGGTTGAAGAAAACCCCTGAAATAATGCCTAAGGTTCAATGCCTGTACACTGCAATCATATGTAATTAGGAAAAAAAGTAAGGTTTACATTTCTAAATCCCTATATTGTTCATCTCTGCTTACCCTTTGAATCGTATACTCACATTCTTAATGTTGTTGACTGGGTCAGAATGGGATTCTGACACAAAAGCAGAAATACAAATCTAAAGTAAGCAATACATAACAAAGGCCAATTCAAAACGAGTGTAGGACTCTCCGAATAAGTCCTCTAAAAAGTTCAATTAAAAATAGAGAGCATCTAACAATTGGGATTAAAGTTGAAAGGACATGAAAAGCCAAGGAATTCCCCCAGGAGACTATAACCATGAAGTATTGGAAAAGTCATAGACCCCAGTAATGAAGTTATGAAATGTTGCTGAGTTCCCCTGAAGTATGAGTCTAGAACTACCTTCCTTCTAACCTTCAATGGTAAACACAGCTAAAGTACCTATTCCTGGGCTACTAAGTTTTACTTCCCTTCTTTTTTTTTTTTTGGTTTTTTAAGACAGGGTTTCTCTGTGTAGCCCTGGCTGTCCTGGAACTCACTCTGTAGACCAGGCTGGCCTGGAACTCAGAAATCCACCTGCCTCTGCCTGCCAAGTGCTGGGATGCACCACCACAGCCCGACTTTACTTCCCTTCTATCTTTATAATGTTTCCCCTTTTTCTAGCATTCTTTTGATCAAATAAAAACAAACAAAGTAGAGTAAAATATTTCAACCCAAACATGGTGGTGCACACCTGAAATCACAGCACTTAGGAAGCCCAGGTAGGCAAGTTGGAAGTACAAGAGAAGCCTAAGGGTGTGTCACATCTCAAATACTTCAGCAATAGAAGTATTGTGTCAGCAATAGAGACACACTACTAGTTTAAAGCCAGCCTGAGGTTACATGATATTTCAGTCACTGTCCTTGCCACAGGGAAACACCATTAGTTCAAGGCTAATCCAGATAGATTACTTACGTCTTAAAAAACTCCAGTCACAGGCCTTTGGTTTGGTCATTTGAGAAAATGCTTCCACTCTTCCCACTCTTTTTTGGGGGGGGGGGGGGTTCAAGACAGGGTTTCTCTGTGTAGTCCTGGCTGTCCTGTAGACTAGGCTGGCCTCGAACTCAGAAATCTGCCTGCCTCTGCCTCTCAAGTGCTGGGATTAAAGGCGTGTGCCACCACTGCCCAGCTTTTTTTTTTTTTTGGGGGGGGGAGACTCCACTCTTTTGGTTTTTTTAAAGATTTTAATTTTTTTATGTGAATGAGTGTTTGCCTGCATATATACATATATATACATATACATATACATATACATATACATATACATATACATATACATATACATGCACCACATGTGTGTCTGGTGTTAGTGAAGGTAAGGGAAGGTCTCAGATCCCCAGAGCTAGAGTTACAAATGGTTATGATCTGCAGTGTGAACTGAATTCAGGTCCTCTGCAAGAGCAGCCATTTCTTCATGTCTAAGCTTTTTCTCTAATGTGACCCTCTCCCCATCTTGATAGGAAAAGCTGAGGCTTCTGATGACAAAAAAAAAACCTCTGCTGAAAACCATTTCAAACATAATAGGTACAGGAGCTATGTTATAGGAGTAATACTTCAACAGCGTGCACCTGTGTGCAGCTCCCCCATGATGCCCACAGAGTATACACGTTGACTGGTGCTAGCATGAAGGTCGTCCAGCTGGTTGGTTCCTGGTTGGTTGGCTGTTTGGTTGCTAGTTCTTTGTTCAAAGAATTCTGAGCACCAGAGAGGGGATATCTGTTAATTAGACAATCAACCCCCACTTCCCACTTCAGCTCATATGAAGGAAAATAATACTAACAGGAATACTCATAATAAAGGATTATTATTCCTATTATCTATGACTTAATAGTATTTAGCAGTGTTTCAATAATGCTTCACACCTCAGACCAGCGCCCTGCCCAGGGAAAGGTGCCTAATGTGTCTCAAGATTATTGGTGATATTAATATGATTGCTTAATAGTGAATAATGAAATGTGTCAACATTTGGAGCACTTGCTTAATTCAGTACCTCAGTATTTTCCAAATGACCAATGCGTATTACAAAATCATACATAGGAAATATGCACTTGAGTTCCACAGGCATTGGGCTGGGAAGAGGGTTCAGGTGAAAGGTGAAAGCATGAAAACCTGAGGTCAGATCCCCAGCACCCATGGAAAAAGCCAGACATGTCAGTGTGTATCTGCAACCCAAAACTGGGGACCAGAGGCATGAGGATTTGCTGGCTATACAATATAGCTAAATCAATGAGCTCCAAATTTAGTGAGATACCCTCTCTCAAAAAATAAGGAGATGGAGGGCCTGGTGAGGTAGCTCAATGGGTAAAGACGCCTGCCCCAACCCTGAAGACCTGAGCTTGCTGGAAGGAGAACTGACTCTCTTGTTGACCTCTAACCTCAACTCACCTCTGAGCATTGTGCTATGCCCACATCCCCTCACAAACAAAATATTAATGTCAATATTGTGAAAATAAAATGTTAATAAAAAGCAACAGAGGAAGACATTATGTACCTGAACACATACATGCACATGATGCATACACTATACATATACACTACAAAAATAATGTTACTGGTGTAATAGATTAAATGAACTTCTTCACAATTACGTCAGTTACTATTATATTTATTCATTTATTTACTTGGTTGTTTGAGACATGAACTTTTCCCCCAACTGCATCACATCTAGTAATTAATTCGTTTTTCCAGTAATTAATTAATGTGTTTTTCTGTGTAGCCCTGGCTGTCGTGGAACTCACTTTGTAGACCAGGCTGGCCTCAAACTCAAGAGATCTGCCTGCCTCTGCCTCCTGAGTGCTGGGTTTTAAGACGTGTGCCACCAAATTTACAAAACTTCACATAGCCTCTAATAACCTTGAGTCACTGAACTTATTAAGAATGGACTTTCACTTGACGGTCTAATGACTGTCAAATTAATCCAGTCCAAACGCTGTTTCCACAATCGGCCACTGCATTTAACTTTGCTGAACAAAACTATTCCGCATTGCAAAGCGCCTTGGGAATTATCGCTGCTGCATATCTACAGAATCATCTTACTGGAAACAGACTGGAATAGCATGTTGGGGACGCAGGAGTAAAGCTTCCAAACTAACGCATTAATAATGATTTTTTGTTTTTTTCTTAATTCCCATCAAGACCAACTAACAGGAATTTCAGTAAGAAAACTGTAGTTGTCAGAGCTCGCATCTCAAGACGTCTGACATCATCACGCACAGACACCCTTGCAGAGCAGGGGCCCGCCCTAGCCTTGCCTCCAGCTGATTGGCGTGCCCGAGCATGGTCGAAGGTGCCATTGGCTGGCGACCGGCCACGTCGAACCCTCCTCTAGTAGCCTTCCCAGTAATGACGCTTCCCCCACCGCGAAGCAGCTAGACGTGCAGACCGTCTCAGCTTTCCACCGTGAGTCGCCAACACCCTCGGCTCGGGTCCCAGGGTCGCAATCACTCCTTGGAGACCTCCAGCACGTCTGCCAGAGCCACGCGCAGGGAAGGTGGTGCCACCGCGCGCCAACCTGGCGCGGCCGTGACGTCAGGCTTGCATTAGATTAGCAATTGGCTGGAGGCATGTGGCGCGGACGGACACTGGCGCGAGCGATTGGATGTGCCGTTAGGGGGCGGGGCCTGGGGGCGGAGCATGCTGCGGAGAGTGTTGAAGTACCGGGATCCGCACAGCTTCTCAACACCTCCAACTGGAATCTCTGGTAAGCTTCCTTTCTATTTGGGGAAGGATGGTAACAGGGGACCAGGAGGGGTGGGTGGCTGTATGAAGCTGAGATGACACGGTTTCCCAGCTTGGCTTGCCGTGGTGGCCTTTGGCGTTCGGGACTGGGTGCCTGGTCCTGGAAAGCGTTGGGTGATCCTCAGGGTTGTCCATAGAAACGCCCTGAGGAGCGATCGAGCAGTCCGAGAAATGCTGGGTTACATAGCCCTTGGGGAGTTGAGTTAAAAAAAAAAAGAGACTTGAGAAAATCTGGTCTTCGCTCCACTGTGGAGCACTTCACTTGTCTTCTTCCAAAAATGAATAGATAGGTCTACTCCTAAGCTCTATTCTACTTTAAGAGAGATTTGCAGGTGCTGTGGTTGGTATATGTCCACGTGGGTTTTATAAAGAGATGGAAACACTTCTGTGTGTTCCTAGATTTTTTTTTTTTTTAGTTCGGTTATGTGCATTTGTATTTTCTGCGACTTTAAGTGGGTGAGAAATGTCACTTTATCCTGTGATCATGAAGTTCATTCTTTATATCCTGGCATTATGAGTTAAAGACGTTATTTCAGAAAGTTTAGTAATTCTGCACATTTGGAACCTATCTTAGGATATTAAGTTAGTTTATGATGTTGTAGATAAACTCTGTGAGTTGAAGTCCACATTCACTTCTAACAGTGCTTGTGTTAGAATGTCTGCACTACATTTATTTAGAAAACTGTAATACAATGACTTTTCTCTATGTTAGTGTTCTAGGTCAGATCAGACATTCTGTCACAATGCCTGAAATAAATACCAGCAATCTTGATGAAAAGCAGGTCCAGCTTCTAGCAGAGATGTGTATTCTTATTGATGAAAATGACAATAAAATTGGGGCTGACACCAAGAAAAATTGTCACCTGAATGAAAACATTGACAAAGGTACTGTCTTAAAGCATTCTATGTTATAAAGTGATTTGTCTAGACATTTAGCTGAGGAAAAACAATGAGATGAAAGGAATGTTTTCTCTTTTGGGGTTTGAGAGGGCCTCACTGTGTATAGCTCTGGCTGGCTGGTTGTCACAGAAACCTGCCCTCCAAATACTGAGAAATTCATTTCAAAATGCTGTCTTACCTTTCATTACAGTTAAATGGTGTACCAATAAAATCCTCCTTCCTCTCCTGTAATAGTTCCCCCCACTAAGCTGCTTCAGAATTATTTTGGGATTATAAAGAAGGAATAGACTATTATCACAGTTCTCAAGTCTGTCTCTCTGAAGATCAGAGAGAGGAGTAGGTATTGAAGGGAAATATGAACCTACACACACACACACACACACACATCAGGATACCAAATGATCTGGGTTAAAGAAAGAGCATTTGATATGCATCAAAGCTGCTGTTTCTTTTCCTTGGTGACTGAGTTTCTAGAACTCAGTCTGGTACTGGTTTTCTAGAACTGTTCTCCATAACAGCCACAGAGAACCTCCTGTTAGAAGACTGGAAAACAGCAGAACTGTCAGCAAGTGTTAATCATATTCTCAACGGCAGGAGGGAAAACTGGACAAATAGCTGGCAAAATCTGACCAATCATATTTGTTTTGCTTTTAGGATTAATACATCGAGCTTTTAGTGTCTTCTTATTTAATACTGAAAATAAGCTCCTGCTACAGCAGAGATCAGATGCTAAGATTACCTTTCCAGGTTAGTATACTTAATAAGGTAGATTTTGCTGGGAGCTGTATTTAACCTGACTGAACTATTGGAGTCAAGGTCCAGAAGGAACAGCCAGGCACGTGACTTCATTGATATTTTATATTAAATAATCAAAATCCAGTGAGTATAATCTTAATATCAGAATTATCTACATATTTTGATCTTGATTAAGAAAGCATTAAAACTTACCCATAAATGTCTTTTAGAAAATACTTACGGGAACCTGCTATAATTAACTTAAAATTCTATTTATCTGATTACTTATAAAACTTTTTTCTTGGTCTTTCAAGGATTTGGAAAAACTCTTCTTTGTTCATATTAATATTCCCCAGGTTGTTTCACCAATAGTTGCTGTAGTCATCCATTAAGTAACCCAGGTGAGCTGGAAGAAAACAACGCCATCGGTGTGAAACGAGCGGCGCAGAGACGCTTAAAAGCCGAACTGGGAATACCCTTAGAAGAGGTAATCGGTATTATTATTAGACAGCCTATAGCCTCAATCTAAGCATGTTAAGACACTGGTTAATTACCAGAAGGAAATTGTCAGCAATGCTTTGAGAGTGCTCTTCCATTAAATTCCAGGCCAATAACTTTGTTTTGAGATAGAATTTAACTATGTAGCCCAAGCTTGCCTTTAAATTCTTGATCCTCTTGCCTCAGCTTCCCAGTTGCTGGGATTACAGTAGTGCATGGTCTGTGTTTTCTAACTTCTTGATTTATGGAATTAGCCCTTCAATAAGGAATGGTATGCGCGTTTTTACTGTTTTGGCTTTTTTGAGACAGTGCCTTGCTGCCAGGTTCTAACCACCTTCCAACCAACAATCTGTTTGGCTTTGCCTCCTACATGCTGGGAGTGTTGGCACACATTCCAAACCCAGCTAAGTTTTTATTTTACTCTTTTTTTAAAAAATACCTTTCTAGCCGGGCAGTGGTGGCGCACGCCTTTAATCCCAGCACCTGGGAGGCAGAGGCAGGCAGATTTCTGAGTTCGAGGCCAGCCTGGTCTACAGAGTGAGTTCCAGAACAGCTTAGACTACACAGAGAAACCCTGTCTCGAAATAAAAAAAAAAAAATTACCTTTCTAGATTTGTTTATTTTATATGTATGAACGTTTTGCCAATATTTATGTGCACTATGTAGCACTATATATATGCCTGGTGCCCAAGGACGCCAGAAAAGAAGTTGTTACACCACCCCCCTCCCCATGGGTGCTGGGAATCAAATCTGGATCTTCTGGTAGGTCCTGCTGAGCCATCTTTTCAGCCTCCTTTAAAAAAAAAAAATAATAACCTAATTTTACTTTATGTCTGTTTTTTCTGCATGTGTCTCATGTGTGCTATCTACATACAGTACCAGAGGAGTCAGAAGTGGGAGTTGAATCCCTTGGAACTTGAGTTTAGGCCAGGTATTAGCTGCCATGTGAGTGCTAAGACTCAAATCTTACTCCTATGGAAGAACAAAACAGCACTTTTAACTCTTGAACTGTCTTTCTGGCCACTCTATTTTATTTATTTAGTATTGAGATTCCATGGATCTCATGTGGCTCAGGCTGACCTTAAACTTAAGCTGTAACTGAAGGTGACCTTGATCTGATGATCTGCCTGCCTTTATTTTCCTAGTGCTGAGAATACAAGTATACACCATAGTGTTGGGAATGGAACCCAGGGCTTCATCTATGCTTAGCAAGCCCTCAGTGAGCTAAATCCCAGCACTCAGGAGGCAGAGGTAGATGGCTCAGAGTTTCAGGTCAGTTGTATCTATGTAGAGAGTTCTAAGCTAGTCAGGGCTACATGGTAAAACTTTGCCTCAAAAATAGGTTGGATAGGTAGGTAGGTAGTTAGATAGACAGATATATAGATATATAGAAAATGTTTTTAGATGGAATGGAACAATTCCAGGGAAATAATTCATTCAGATGTGTGGCTCAGGTTCCTAAGGATGGCCACAGGAAAACATCTATCTCTGATTTAATCAATTATAACAGCCAACCTTGTAGACTTGAACAAAACTATGACTGTGATTTTAAGAAACAAATTTTAGGGCTAGCTAGCCTCTAGCTCACTGTGTAAACCAGGCTAGCCCTGAACTTATAGAGATCTTCCTGCTTTAGCTTTCAGCCAGCATGCTAGGACTAAAGGATTATACCACCGTGCCTGACTAAACTATCTTCCTTGAAGATTAAGACAAAGTGTCTTGTATGCAGTTGAATGGTGAATGTTTTTCTGTAATAGCAGCTTTAAAATACATATGCCACATTCTAGTCTGAATAACTACTTTTTAATATTTTGAAAGCAAATTAACTTATGTTTGGTCTCAGGAATAAAAAATTGAGACACTCAGGACAGTAATAATTTTTCCATATATTTAAAAGCTCTGTAATATGCTGCTGTTATTCAAGAGAAAGGGCTGGAGAGATGGCTCAGCTAGAAGCACTGGCTGCTCTTCCGAGGGGCCCATGTTTAATACTCAACACCAATGTGGCAGCTTACACTCCTCTGCAGCTCTGGTTCTAGGTGATCAGTTGCCCCCTTCTAGCCTCCCAAGGCACCAGGCACACACCTGGTGCACAGATACACATGCAAGCAACACACTTGTATGCAAAAAATACATTTGAAAAATAAGATATTCTTGAGATGTGTTAATTTTAGGTTATCTTTTGTCACTAGTCAATTTTTCTTTTGGCGTTTGTTTGTTTGTTTGTTTGTTTGTTTGTTTGTTTTTTGAGACATACCTCTCTGTACATCTCTGGCTAGCTTGGAACTCACTGTGCCTTAAACTCAGAGAACCACCTACCTCTGCCTCCTGAGTACTGGGATTAAAGACATGCACCCCTCTGCCTGACCTCATCAATAATATTATTAACTGATTTTTCTTTTCATGTTGTAGGTTGATCTAAATGAAATGAATTATCTAACAAGAATTTACTACAAGGCCCAATCTGATGGTATCTGGGGTGAACATGAAATTGATTACATTTTGTTTCTGAGGAAGGATGTAACCTTGAATCCAGATCCCAACGAGATCAAAAGCTATTGCTATGTATCAAAGGAAGAGGTCAAAGAAATTTTGAAGAAGGCAGCCAATGATGAAATTAAGTTAACTCCGTGGTTTAAGATTATTGCAGATGCATTCCTCTTTAAATGGTGGGATAACTTAAACCATTTGAGTCCATTTGTTGACCACGAGAAAATACATAGACTGTGAATGTGTAATTGATTTGAAAATTTTTCTACCTAGGAAGAATAGTTTGGTTTGGTTTTAAATTGGACTCCCTTGTATGATACATAGATATTTTACAACCAGAATTTGTTTTGAGAAAAGAAAAAAGGAAAACTCAACTAACTTACAGTTTTATATTATTTATCCCATATATATGTACTGATGTTTATGAAAGACATTTAAGAGAGGTTATTGTGAAATTATGCCATAAGTAAAACTTAATTTAGCCTGTCCAAATACCTGGCTATGACAAGATTGAAGAAATAACCAGAACTCATTTTTTACATTTTGACAAACACTTTCAGAACACTTTGCTAGTTGCCAAGTGTTTTTTTATATCATTGAATTTTTATCATACATCAGAAAATTGAGCAGAAGACCCTGCTTAGCTGCTTTGAAACAGCACTAAAAGATTAAGTGGGCAGGGCTCAGGATACAGCTCAGTGGTACCATGATTGCCTTGCAGGCATGACGTCATGGGTTGTTGAGTTCCTAATCCTAAAGATAATTGTAGCAACAATAAAAGTAGGCAGAGCAGGTTCAGAGGAGAGTAAGTGGCCCCCTCAGTCTTCACACAGGAGGATTAATCTCAAGAATCCTTGTATAACCAATGCTCTGGATGCTCAAGTCTATGGATGATGATACTGTATTTGCATATAACTTACGCACATCTTTCTCCACACTTCGCCTTGTCTCCAGGGTAGTTGTAGCACTGAACACAGTGTAAGTGCTAATGTAAATGATTGTTGTACTGTGCTTTATGATAAGGAGAAGTCTGCATGTGCATTACAGATCAAATATTAATATACAGTTGCTTTGAGCCCTTGGATGTTTCACCCACAGATTTGAAAGGCTAGTTCTGTGTACTAATTTTGTCATTCTCAGTTGATTTTGTGCTTTAACCATCCTGAAATTATTATTTTACTACTTAATAGTAACTTACTTTTGGTAGTAATGATAACTGATTAGCTATTCAGCAAAATCTGTTTACAACCATAGTGAAAAAGATGGTTAGTCATAAGGTGAGAGTGCGTTCTACTGTAAAGAGTTGAGAAAACCTTTGACACTACCATCGCTGGGCCTAGAGCATCTTGTTGTAGGGGTCTGG